CGGAGGGGCCCACCCCCAGGTCTTCCCCCAGGTCCTTCACTGGTCTTGGGCTTCAGTGAGGCAGACAGTCTTGGAGGAGGCCTTGTCTGGTATCGTGGGCGGGAGGGAACCGGGCACTCCAGACCCCAGGATCAGGAATCCCTCACAAGCCATGCCTTGTGCTTGGCAGGGCCAGAGACAGCTGGCTGCAGCCTCTGCCACCCTGACATAGTGCAGTGGGCAGGTCAACCTCGCCTTGCCCTCGTGTCCCCTGGCAGCTCCCTCCTGGCCTGAGCCACTCACCCTGGCCTTCCTTGCAGTGCTCGGTGACATGCGGGACGGGCACTCAGCAGCGAAGTGTTCTCTGCACCAATGACACCAGTATCCCCTGCGATGAGGCCCAGCAGCCGGCAAGCAAGATCACCTGCTCTCTGCCACTCTGCCCGCGGCCCCTAGACACGCTGGACCCCGAAGGCTCAGGCAGCGGCTCCTTCAGCCACGAGCTCTTCAACGAGGTGGACTTCTTCCCACACCGCCTGGCCCCTCACCCGTCTCTCCCGTCGTCCCCCGAGCCAGCAGGCATGGGCAATGCCATCGGGGAGGACCCGGAGCCAGACCTGCCAGGGCCCGTGTTTGTGGATGACTTCTACTACGACTACAATTTCATTAACTTCCACGAGGATCTGTCCTACGCACCCTCCCAAGGGGACCCCGATCCCGCCCTGGCCAAGACAGGGGGCTGGACACTCCCACCCCAGAGCAGTCCTGCTGCGCCCCCCACGGGCACCCCGGAGCCTGCCACGGAGCCTCCTGTGACCGAGGAAGGGACGGGACCCGGGTCTTGGTCCCTTGGCACCTGGCCCAGCCAGGCTGACCAGTCCCCACTCCCATCCCCCCCTTCGGAGCAGACCACTGGGAACCCCCTCCTCAATTTCCTGCCTGAAGGAGATGCCCCCATGGGAGCCCCCAACCTGGGACTTCCCAGCTGGCCCTGGCCCCCGGCTTCCGTGGGCGGTACACAGTCACCTGCTGCCTCTGGGAGCCCAAATGAAGTCCTCGCAAGGGAGGACAGCCAGAGCCCACTGCCCTCTTCATGGCGGGACAGGACCAATGAGGTTTTCGGGGATGACGAGGAGCCTGTGGGCGGTGGAGCGCCCCCCCTGCCCCAGAGACCCAGCCCCAGGCCGCCTCCTGGGTCCCCCCTCAGCACCCGCACCTCTCCTAGTCCTAGGGTGGAACTGGGAACAGGAGGAAGGACTGTGGCCGGAGAGCCGGCCCTGGAGGGTGGCCTGGGGGCTGTGGACAGTGAGCTGTGGCCCGCTGTGGGGGTGGCTCCTCCCACTGCCACTCTGCCAGAGACTGGGGTCAGAAGCGGCCCCCTGGAGCTAGGGACTCCCAGCTTCTCGGCCCCTGGACTGAGCTCATGGGACTTGCAGACTCCGGCTGTGCTGCAGCCTCCGACAGCCATGACTGACCTGGGGCACAGGCCCTGGATGACTGTCCCGAGCCCGGGACCCCAGCGCCAGCCTGCATTCCCTGGCCCCGAGGCCCCTCTGTCCACACCATCCCAGGACAGCCCCGCCAACAGCAGCGGGGCCCCCGAGGCCCAGCCCCTGGCCCCCAGCCTGGCCGAGGAGGGGTCCCCCGGGGACCAGCTGGCCACCAGGAATGCCAGCTGGCAAGTGGGAAACTGGAGCCAGGCAAGTGGTGGGGGGTGGGGCCGGGGCCGGGAGTTTGTGCGGTGCTTTGATAGCTTAGTTCTGTCATCTGAAAATGAGCAGAGCAGGACACAGGCCCTGTCCGTCCTGCCTCCTGCGAGGCTGGGATTCTGGGGCTTTGGGAGACAGCCTGGTGGATGGGGCTCCACGGGGCACTGCCCCCTCTGGCCTCCAGCCCTCTGTGCATGGGACCCTGGGGCCAGTCTGCCCCATCAGGTGGGGGTGGGTTGGTGGGGTCTGTCTGCCGGTGTCTCTAGAGCCCTCAGGACCCATTCCTGAGCTGCACAGGGGGCTTCTAGGAAGGCAGTAGCAGCCGGGACGACGGCCTCACAACTGGGCCTTGTGCCCAGGAGGGAGCTCACCTCAGATGGCTGTGCGATGGTCTTCCTGGCCCAGCCTTGTCTCCTGAGGCTCAGCCTGGCTCCTGCGGGAGAGAGTGGGAGTCAGGCAGGCCGTTGCCACCTGGCTCTGCCCTCAGTTGCTCCACTGTCCTTTGTCAGGAACCCACAGGGGATCTGAGCTACACAAGAGAAGCTAGCCTGTGCCCCTTCCCCCAGGTCCCCAGATTGTCATTGTAGGAGAAGCAAGTTCGTTCTGTTCGGATCCCTAGTTTGGGGGTGAAAAGGGGCAGGCTGAGGCTTGTTTTGCCCGGGGTTACCCAGCAATTTCAGTTTGGCTGCTGGGACTAGAACCCAGAGTTTCTTCCCTAGTGATTCTGGTGAATCAGGACCGTTGGCTAGGGGTGCCTGCAGGGTCCCCTCACCACTGCCCTCCCCCGTGTCCCTTGTGAGCTGGGACAGTTGGTGCTTGGGAGATTGGACTTTTCATTCTCATAGTGTCCTTGAGAGGTGGGCGGAGGAAACCGAGACCCAGAGGAGGGGGCCTGCTGAGATCTACGCGCTAGGTCGCGGGGCCAGAGGGGGTGGGCCGGCCGCACCTCACAGATCTCTGTGCCCGGCAGTGCTCCACCACCTGCGGCCTGGGCGCCGTCTGGAGGTCCGTACACTGCAGCTCCGGCCGGGATGAAGACTGTGTCCCTGCGGGCCGGCCCCAGCCCGCCCGCCACTGCCACTTGCGGCCATGTGCTGCCTGGCACGCCGGCAACTGGAGTAAGGTGTGTGAGCACAGAGTGGGCAGGCAGCCCGGGGTGTGGGGTGGGGCCTTGGTGTCCACGGCCTGTGTCCGTGCTGCATATCTGCACTTGATTGTATCTCATTCCTGATCGCTCAGGAATCTTCTCCTCTGGGGTTGGCTTACCTGCCACAGTCCCTTCCGTCTCCTTTTCTCTGTGCCTTTTAACCCCTTCTGGATCTCTGTCTCTGTCACCAGCTGTCTCTTATCCCTTCTTTCTCCTTCTGTCCCAGTCTGTGGCAACCCCTGGCCATGCCGCCTGCTCCCCGGGTGCTCTTCAGAGATTTGCCCTGGCTTGGGGGAGGGAGGTGGGTTGGTCCCTTGCCTGCCCTGCCACACGCCTCACCGGGTCGCACGTCCACACATGTCCCTTGGCCCACAGTGCTCCCGCAGCTGTGGTGGAGGCTCCTCCATGCGGGACGTGCAGTGCGTGGACACGCAGGACCTCCGGCCACTGAGGCCCTTCCACTGCCAGCCAGGGCCTGCCAAGCCGCCTGTCCGCCGACCCTGCGGGGCCCAGCCCTGCCTCAGCTGGTACACCTCCTCTTGGAGGGAGGTGAGGCCCGGGGGTCTGGGATGGGGGTGGGGGATGCCCTCAGGCCTTGACAGTGCCTTGACCACCCTCCCTGCCCCCACCTCCTGCCCACACAGTGCTCCGAGGCCTGTGGTGGCGGCGAGCAGCAGCGTCTGGTGACCTGCCCGGAGCCAGGCCTTTGTGAGGAAGCACTGAGACCCAACGCCACGCGGTCCTGCAACACTCACCCCTGCACGAAGTGGGTGGTGGGGCCCTGGAACCAGGTGAGTGGGGGCTGCGGGAAGAGCGGGGCGAGCCTTGCTTGGCTGAGGGCGTGCTGTGCGCTGAGTGCTGGGCCCTCTTTCCAGCCTTCTGGTGCCTGCGGCCTGCCAGAGACCAACAGCCGAAGAAAATCGGCCACATGCTGGGATGTCAGGGACAGCCTTCTGAGGAGGGGACTTGGGGTTGAGGCCTGAAGCAGGCACCAGCAATGCCGAGGACAGGGACAGAGGGAACAGCAAGTGCAAAGTCCTGAGGCAGGAATGATGAGCTTGGGGTGCTCAGGGAACCGAGGGAAGGACAGAAGGGGGTGGGAGGGGACTTGGGGTGGGCAGGACACCCTCTGCCAGGCCTGTTTGGAGCTGAGAGGTTCAGGAAGCTCCTCAGGTGTGGGCCTTGAGCGGGGCCCTGGAGTCAGCCAGGCCTGTGTTCGAGTCCTTGTCCCGCTGGCTGCTGGGCAACTCTGAGCGGGTTGCTTTGTCTTGCTGGATCTCTGCACATCTGTAAAAGGGGGACAGCTTAGGGGAGGAGGGTTGGGAGAGTTAAATGAAGTGACAGAATGAAGCACAGGGCCTGGCCCTGAATCGGCACAGGTTAAACTTATTTTTAGGGTTTTTAAAAGACATCCAACTATGCCTCCTTCCCTCTGCTGTCCCTGGACTGTGACAGGTCCTCCCTGTCCCTCAGGCACAGCAGTGTCTCTCCATGCCTCCACCTACTGATGGAGCAGGTCTCCATCCGGGGCCCTGTCCAGGCCTCTCGGGCATGTCCCATGTGAGGGGCTCACAGTATCCGTGTTCCTGAGGGCTATCCCCGCTGTCCTGGTGCCTTCCCTCCCCACCTCTCACAGGAGCTGAGCCTGCAAGTGTGAGTGGGGTCCTAGCACCGAGTGGGTTGTCAGGCCCTCCAACAAGGCTCTGAGGTGGGCTGGGAACAAGGGGAGGCCGGTCAAGCACAAGGCGCAGGGATGGCTTCTTGGAGGAGGTGGCACTGCCCCAGTGGTGCCTGGTCACCCGCTGTGAGGGCTGGCCTGGGGGAACCCTCACTCCTCCCCCATGTCTGCGCAGTGCTCAGCCGCCTGTGGCGGTGGTGTCCAGCGGCGCCTGGTCAAGTGTGTCAATACCCAGTCGGGGCTGCCTGAGGAAGACAGCGACCTGTGTGGCCACGAGGCCTGGCCTGACAGCTCCCGGCCCTGTGGCACTGAGGACTGTGAGCTCATCGAGCCTCCACGTGAGTCCCCGAACCCCTGGTTCTCTGCTGGGAGTGGGGTGGGGTGAGGAGGATGGTGGGGAAGGGGGGGCATCGAGACACTGTCACCCCCGCAGCACAGCTGGCTCCATCTGTAGTCTGAGCACAGGAGCTACGTGGCCGCTGATAACTGTGAGGCTGCATAAGCTGGGTGTGCTGGGAGTCGGCCAAGGGGCGCCTGGCCACACAGGCCTGCAGGCACTGCCCCCAGCCTCAGGGGAGCAGAGGAGGTAGCCTTGGCCCCTATGTTATTGTGTGAACCTGGCAAGCACCTTTCCCTTGGGGTCTCAGTGCTCCCACAGTCAGGCCAGGAGGCCCTGAGGCTGCGTGTGAGCTGGGCCTGGGTAAGACCCCATCCCGAACCTGGCTGGAGGAGGACTACCTGGGGTGAGCAGTGGAACCGCAGGAAGGGGCCTCCCTCCCGGGTCCTGCCAGCTCCTAGCAGCTGGTGGCTTCCTAGCCAGCTGGGCTCTACTGGCAGGAGGTCCTGGGCCATAGGGGGCTCTGGACACACCCCGACACGCACTCACTTCCTGCAGTCCCAGCAGTGCTGAGCACAGGAAACTGGCCCTGGAGTCACACCTGAGCTCCCGTCACCAGTGGGGTGGCCTCAGGCTCCATTTCCCCCTGGGCCTTCCCTTCCTCACACATAAAGGGGCCAACACCCTCATCCTTGCACTACCCATGTACCCAGGTGGCACTCAGGAAAGGTGGCTTTTCCTCTCCCTCACAGCTACTGTCATCCCCCAATGTGAGGTCAGGGAGGGAGCCCAGAGCTACCTCTGCCAGTCCAGGGAACCCAGAGGGCTGGCATTGCCCGTGAAGAGCCGTGGCTCCTGGGCCTGTGGGCTTTCTGCCCCCTGCCCCAGGTCAGAGTCTATGGCCATCAAGCTGGCATTCAGGGCCTCAGGGTCTGCCCCAATCTGCCATCTTCTCCCCTGCCCACTACTTAGCTGGCTCCTGGGCTGCCCTTGATCAGGACAGACTGACCTTCCTTCCCCAAATGCCATTACCAGGCCCTGTAGCCATGCCCCCCCCCCCACCACACTGCCTGCCCTCAGCAAGCACCCAGCAAGCATCTCAGAGCACCCCTGTACACTCCCCCAGCTAAGTGCCGGGATGGCGGCATTGGCCTTCAGGAGTAAACGTGGCTGTGTGGAGCTGGCTGGGTATGGTCCCAGGTGGCAAGAGAGAGGACACTGAGGCCCCTGTGGCCAGGAGCCAAGGACAGGCCTGGCCCAGGGGGCTCTGGCCTTGCCAGGTCCCCTGGATAGGGGTGGGCTGCAGGGAGAGGGCTTGGGGGGTGGCTGGGTGGCTGAACTACAAGCTGTCCCTGGGGGGCGGTTTCCTGCCACCGTGAACAGTAGAGGGGTAGCCGGGGGACATCTTGGACTGAGGCTCTGGAATTCCCAGGATGTTTTGATGGTTTGTGGGACACAGCATGGCAGGACACTTGGAAAGCCTGGAAACTCCAGGGTGTGCGGTCACCGCGGCAGGCCAGCTGACACAGCACAGTCACATCCGTTTGCTGTGGAGGTGTGGGGGGTGGACAGTGGCCCCAGAGGCTAAGCAACTTGTCTGAGGTCGCCCCCAGGACCAGGATGCAGGCCTGCCTGGAGTGGGTGGAGGAGTTTGTCTGCCGCCTTGTGCCCTCTGCCAGGCCTGGGGGATGTCCCAGGGCTGACTGTGGCCCTCCCGCTCCTCCTCCCCTGGGAGGTCCGCTGGAGCGAGCCGGGCCCAGGCGGCAGCTGGGGGTTGTCAGCAGCGGCAGCAGCATCAGGAGCGTGGCCAGGAGGCTGGAAGCACGCCACCTCCCAAAATAGGCTGGAAGCAGGCCACTTCCCCAAATAGCTTGATAACCATGGGGCAGGAGGGCCCACCAGCCTCGACCATACAAGCACAGCCCGCAGCCTCCCTGCCTCCTTGCAGGCCGGGACTCAGTCCCCGGTTTCTGCCATGGCCTGCTTGGCCTGGGCCCTGCTCACCTCTGGGCTTTGGTGCTCAGTTGAGAGAGGGGGGTTGCTGGGAGATGGTAGGGGAACCTGGGAGATGGTGGGGGACATGGGAGACGGGACTCAGCTCTATTCTGTGACCCAGAGGCAGAGGCTGAGCAGAGCCCAGGTGGCTGGAGGTGGTCCCGAGGGCCTGGCAGGACTGGGGAGGTGGCAGGGGTTGAGGGGGAGAGGCTGCTGTGTGCCAGCAGGAGGCACCTGAGGCCTCAGTTGGGGCACTGAGGATGGACAGGGAAGGAGATGGGGTGGGCATCACCTGGGTGGGCTCTTTGGCTTCTCATGGGCACCTGAGGGCATCAGGGGTGGTCTCAGGATGTTTCCTGAGAAACCTGAGCCCAGCAGTGTCAGCTCTAGAGTCCTGGGGGTCGGCCGAGGGCAGCACAAGGACAGCTGGAGACTCAAAACCCTGGACTTAGAAGAGCCCCCCAGCCTGGGGGTAGTGCTGAAGCCCCTGTGAGGCAGATGCGAGGGGGAGCCAGGCTCTGGTGCCCCAACCTCTGGTCCTGACACCCCTGCTCCTCCCCTCAGGGTGTGAGCACGACCGCCTGTCCTTCGGGTTCTGTGAGACCCTGCGCCTGCTGGGCCGCTGCCAGCTGCCCACCGTCCGCAGCCAGTGCTGCCGCTCGTGCCCCCCGCCCGGCCACGGCGCCCCCTCCCGAGGCCACCAGCGAGTTGCCCGCCGCTGACCCGCTCCGGGATGCACAGACCGACCAACGACGCACACACCTCAGCGCCCAACATGGGCTGCGGCGGAGCCCCGGCCCCCCGTGCCCTCATGGTGCTAACACCCCCCACCCAGTGACAGGCTGGGTCTGTCCCCTATCCCCATCAGAAAAGGTATTTTTTTATTCTAACAGTTGGTGTAACATTTGTTATTATTTTGCATAAACGAGTATCTACTGTTCCGAGGCACAGCCTGGCTTCATCTTGGATCTGGGGAATCTCAGACGGAGGCGGAGGTTCCCTGCCTGAGACCACCACCCCAGTGCCTCAGCAGACAGAGGCTTCTCACCTGCTCCTCTGTGGGCAGATCGGCAGGGGAGACAGCTGTGAGCTCATCTGTGCAGAGAAAGGCGACTGCTGTAGGCATGGAAAGCCTCAGAAGATCTCAGAAGCCGGAGGAGGGCCGGGGAGGCCTGTCTGTAGGGGCTTGGCTCTGGGCAGGAAGGTCTCCTGGCAGGGGCGCAGCTTGGCCCCAGCCCAGGGAGTCGGGTCCCTGCACAGGCTCCTTCCATACCCCTCCCTTGCTTCCTGCCTCCTGCTCAGGATTGAGCCACATGCACTCTCAAGCAGCGAGCCTGTCCTGGTACCTGCGAGGACTGCCCCCTGGAGTGACAGGGTGTGGGGCCCCATGGGCACCTCCCTGGCCATCTCTGTTGTATCTGACTTGTCTGCACAATGCCAGTGGAAAGGAAGAGGAGGATGGCCAGCAGCGCCCTCTGGGCCCCCACATGTCCTTCTCTTTCATCTCAGTGCTTAGACAGGGCTGGGCTGGCTGCAGCTGACTCAGGGTGACCCAGGTGCCAGGCTCCTGCCATGGTGACCTGTGGTCCAACCACCCGGCACCTGCCTACCAGCCCCTTCCCTGCCCATAAGATTCAGGCTCATGGAGCTGGACTGAGGTCGGGGAGCAGGTGGGCATGAGGTGTTTTGGAGGGTCACAGGCCTGGTGGGGGGTGGGGAGATGGGGGAAGGGGTACACAGTCCTCCCAGGCCCAGCCCGGACCCACCCCTCCCCTCTGGCCGTGAGCTTTGGACTCTGCAACCTAGAAGGTGTTATGCTCCCTCCCCAGGCAGAGAATGCTGGGGTTCAGAGAGGTCACCCTTGCACACCTACAGGGGCCATTTCCCAGCGTACAGTGTCCTGGCAGAGATGTGAATGGGGGCCCTGGAGTGTGACATGGCAGCCTCTGGCCGCTCAGGGCTGGGCTGTGTGCTGGGGGTGGAGGGGACGACACTGAGAATCACTCCTTGGGAACTGAGACCAAAAGAGCACCAGAGGCAGAATCCAGCAGTGCTGCCAGGTCGCTGGGGTGCCCACTGTGCTCCAGCATGTCCAACTCCTCTTGTGTGACCTCAACATGCCCCGCTTTCAGAGAAACCTCAGGCTCTGAGAGGGACACACCTGGCCAGGGACACATGCCCAGTGCCACAGGCCTGATTCTGGCCTCTAGCTCTGGCTCCTATTTGGAGCCCCAGGCTGCCCTCGGCAGCTGACCCCTCTGAGGAGGACCCAAGCACACCCCACAAGTGGCTCTACAGGACGACTGCCTGTCAGCCGCAAGTCCCCGGGCCTGTGTGAGCCCCAGCTCCCCCACACCGCTGGAGGCTGGGGAAGCGCCAGGCTTGCTTCCTGTCTGTGTTTGTAGCAGGCCGGCTGGCCCAAGGAGGCCCTGGGGACTGTGCTGAGTAACGGCTTCCTAGGCTTTAGTCAAAGCTGCCCTCGGCGGCAGCCCCTTAAAAGGGACAGGCAGGAGGGCCTGCTCCTGACCCACAGGCTGAGCAGGTGCTGGCACGGGCAGGTCCCTGGGGTCTGTCCCAGCTCCACCATGCTACTGAGCTGCGGCCTCAGGAACCCCTAGCCTCACCGATCCATGTCCCCAGAGGAGAAAGCAGCTTCCCAGGCCCTGCCCTGCTCTGATGGTCTGGGATCCTCGCTGCAGCCACCCCCAAGCTCCCCCTGTGGGAAGACATTTGGTCTTAATCATTCGTGTGTTTTTCCAGCGATGGCTAGGGGTGTCCCCAGTGGCAGCTGGGCCTGAGCTGTCAGCCCAGACAGGAGGCAAACAAGCCAATGACTCAGGCAGGGCACGGCACAGCTGGCGGAAAGAGGGTGCCTCTCCTCTATGGGAAGGGGGCTTCTCCAGACACAGGACTCTCCCACCTCAGTGTCCCTAACCCTCACCTGTGGCTCAGTCACGGCTGACAAAGGCATCCTGTCCCACCTGCCCAAGCAAACCATGGGCAGGGACACCCAGAAACGCCAGGCTGGGAGAGTCTCCGGAGCCCCGCACCCTCACAATGACTATGACTATGTTTCCAGGCAGAGTATTCGACAAATTAGTAGTTTATTTCTTCCTTTAGTATTACAATTCCTCAATGTGACTGGAAGGTCAGCCCAAAGCTGCTGCAATGCAGAAGGCAGAATCACTTGGTGGCACCCGAGTCCTCCAGCTGTCCCACAGTGGCAGGATGTGAGTGGCACACCCTGGGCCGGTGGCCAGCCTCCCAACTGCAAGGACCTCCCCAGGCAGGCACAGCCACCCAGAAGCCTGGACATGCAGGAGACACTCCAGAGCCTGGGGGGGATGTGTGCAGCAGCACCAACATTCAAACAAAACCCGACCGGCACCAGCCCAGAATGCTTCCCATGTTGTGATCATGCAGTTGCAGCCTGAATTGTCCCCAGCCATCAGCTGTCTTGGCTGCTGCTGGATAGCTGTCAACAAAATTGCAGGCGGCCCTGGGGCTACTTGGGGTAAGAAGAGGGCCCGTGAGTATGTGACAGTGATGGGTGGGGCTGGAGGGAAGAGCAGCCTAGGGGAGCTCAGGCTGGCATAAATACAAGAGATTGTGCACACAGGAATGCTCGTTATATAAAATAGATGTACAGAATCTAGAAAAACCTTGATAAAATTGCCTATAAAAATATAAACTGTAGTGAAATATACAAAAGTATTAACAGGTTCAACCCCTAAAAAAATGCCATCAATGTAAAAGTTGGCACTGCCCACTGGGCGTGGTGAGGGCGCTCCCCAGCCTGGCACGTGCATGTGGGCAAACAGGCTGGAGGCCATCCTTGGCTTCCTAGCTGGGGGTGTGGGGTCCCCCGCAGGTTGGTGTGCAAGCTGATGGCAGAGCTCAGGTGCAGAGGAGCAGCAGTGTGGGACAGCCTCCCCAGAGGGGCCACCTGCATGGCACCACTGGAGGCCAGGGACCTCAGAGACACAGAATTGAGGGCACAGAGCAGCTCTTTGCACAGTGACAGAAGGGGAAGGGCCAAGTGGTGGGGCCTCGGTTCTGGAAGGAAGGTGGGCTCTACCCAACGCATCCCCTGCCCATCTCCTGCAGGACCTCTCTTGCCTCTCACCAACACTGCCCAGCCACACCCCACACTGCCTGGAGAGGCTCACAGGGGAGGGTGGGAGTCCAGGACTCCAGCCAGGGCCTCAGTCAAATTAGCCCATCCTGAAGGCAGCCGCTTAGCCCCAGGACACAGTGGTGGAGGTCAACACCCGAAAGCAGCCCCGGTCCTCTGGCACCCCCTCAGGGCTGCCCCCAAGCTGACAGCTGTGTGGCAGGTGGGGGTCACCCACTCCTGACGGGGAGACTGCACCGCCAAGCTCCAGGGCTGCTTCCTGAAGAAGTCAGACCCCTACCTTTCCACAGACAAAAACAATGATGGACACATTTTTGATACTTGAAAAGAGACAAGGCTTTTGGCTAAATACAGAGGCCAGCTCCCTCTACATGGTGAAAAACTAGCCAATTAAAGTTGCGCTCAGTCTGGTGTGCTGAAATACCAACTCAGCCATGGGCACTGCAAGGAAGGTGATGTTAACAAATAGGAAAATTTCCCACAATTTTAAAATAAAAAATATGTATTAAAAAAATAGGGTACCTGCACAATGCATATTTGTATACCTAACCCTTAACTGTACCCCACAATTTTAAAATAAAAAATATGCATTAAAAAAATGGGAAAACCACTTGGGCAAAATGTACTTGATAAAACCGCACTGCTTCAATTCCTCGTCCGAGCATGTTTGTATCAATGAAGGATTATTTCCAGGTTTTTCCAGGTAGTGTGAAGCATGGCTCTCAGGACTGCTTTTCTTGTATTCCAACAATGCTGTGCCAGAAAGCATTCGCTCATATCTACACATGGGGGTGGTCTGGGTGGGATTAAGCAAAAATGACCTCCTTGCTCAAAGCCTTTCTCCAGAGTTCAAGAAGGTAGTGCCTCGAGTTCTGGCTGCGCCAGAGGTAGCAGTGACCCCATGTCCTTGCTGAGGAAAAGGGTGCTCTGGGCAGAAGCAGGGGGCATATCTGATAGAGCTCACCCAAGCCTTGCCCACAAGAGCTAGTTCCCAGGCGCTGGCAGCAGCCTCTCTCCCCCAGCCAGGCGGAGGAGATGCCAGGACCTTGGCCATCCCCGAGGAAGCCTAGGTCTCTGTGCTACCTGCAGAGCACCCCCAGGAGAGCCTCCTCCATACCCTCAACAAGGGCCAGCCAGGGTGGGCGTGCCTTGATAAGGTGGTGGGTGTTTGCTTGGAAGCCATCTCACTGTGCTTGAACATGACTCCTGCGAGTGAAGAGCTTCCCACAGAGGCTCAGGAGACGCGGCAGGCCCAGAGCTGCTGGGGCAGAGTGGTCCACGATCTGTAGACCCAGGGCTTCTCCACACCGGCAGGGACCACTGTGTTACGGGCTGTGTGTGGAAGAGCAAAGGCATTCCAGAAACAGGGCATGGCTGGCAGCCTGAAGCTGCCAGTGGAAGGTTCATGGGCTTTCTACGCTGGCTGTTTATGAATAAGGGATGTGCTTGCTTTTCTAAGGAAGTCCCCTCTTCCACACCGACTTTATGCCACCGAGGCAGCTGCATCCTGACCTACATGTGTCTGGGCACAGGGGGCGTCCTTCACGGTGCTGCCGTGCAACAGTGCACACGGTTGCCCGCTGTGTGCAGGAAACAGAACATGGGACACTCTTGAAAGCGCGGTTTCCAGAGGAACAGAACACCCAATTAACTGCCAGATGCTGTCAGCAGGCTCTGGCAAGCACCCCACTGGTCAGCCCAGTGAGTTGCCAGTCAGGCAGAGGGCAGGATTATGATTTGTGTCACTGAATGCCATGGCACGGAGAAGGCTGTAAACAGATCGAACACCGCCAGCAAGTGGGAACGAGAACGTGCAGTCTGGCTGTGGACATCTGCCAGCAGATTCCCAGAGGCACAGAGGCTCCGTGCAGTTCTCCAGTGAGCTGTTCGCCCTCTGGCATGCTTTGGTTGTGAAGGCAAGAGCGGCATCCTGGGGTCAGTCAGGTGTCCTCCTCCTCATCACTGACCAGCTCTCCCTTGTCAGGGCTGGTGTCTCGCTCACGCAGGAAGTCCTCACGGATGGCCTCCAGCTCTGTTAGCTCCAGCCGGACCTTCTCCAGGTGGTAGGCGCGCCGGTTCCGGATCTGGCGCAAAGGGAAGGGGTTCAGGTCCCCAAAGGCAATACTGATCAGCTTCCTGGCAGGACACAGGACAGAGACAGCATCAGCCAAGCTCCTATACAGTTGCGGCAGACAGCCCAGAGGCATGGGGTGGGGAGCCCAGAGGCACGCTGGGGCCTGAGGGAGGTATGTGACCTGAGGAATAGGCCCAAGAGAGGCAGCAGGCATAGTGGCCCCACAAGGGGCAGGCCTTGGGTGACTGGATTCTAGTCCTGCCATGTACTTAGGCCACCCTCCCCCCATTTCCTGGCCTCTGATTCCTCATCCACACACTGGGGACCCCAGTGCCACCTCTTAAGGTGTGGGATTTACTAGTATTCCCACACACAAGCACCAAGGACAGCGTCTGCGGTTGCTTGGTGCTGGCATCCTGGGTCAGCAAGAGGCCTGTGTGGAGCACACATTCAGGAAGCCTCTGTCTCAGGAATGACTGAGTAGGGTGAGTGAATGCCCAGGCAGACCTGGCAATGACTGTCTGACCCAGGTGACAGTGTGATGCAGTCTACTGAGAAACATGCAGTTTGTGGGTTCCACATGTCAGGTCAAGGCACCAACTTAAAATAAAAATGTTCGGGCTGCCCCTAACCACTGGTCAACGCTTTGCTAAGCACAAAGCCAGAAGCATATCCTGAGGCTTGGCTATGGATTCCAGTAGCCATAGGGTCAGCCACGCTGATCTGGGGTCAGAGGGAGGCAAACCGTTTTCCCCCAGCACTGAGGTGCTGCCTCCTTCCCCTCTTGGGTTATGTCAGCTCAGAGGCATGGCTTTCCCACAGCAGGGCTCACTCACTTCCTGTCAACCAAAGACCAATGAACTCATGAACCCTAGGAAAGGCTGCGAGGAGACAGATGTCAGGAGGGACTTCCTCCCTGCCTCCGAGGAAAGCAAGCCACTCGCTTCAGCGACTGGTGCCTTTCCACACAGGGTATATACGTGATTCAGAATACACAAGCCTTTGGTGGTTCTTCCTTTTATATAATATTTAATTTTATTATTATTTTTTTGAGTTGGAGCCACACTCTGCTGCCCAGACTGGAGTGCAATGGCACAGTCCCGGCCACTGCAGCCTCGACCTGCTGGGCTCCAGCGATCCTTCCGCCTCAGCCTTCCAAGTAGTCGGAACTATAGGCACGGCTGGCTAATTTTTTATTTATTGTAGAAATAAGGTCTTGCTAAGTTGCCCGGGCGGGTCTCAAACTCGTGGGCTCAGGCAATCCACTTGCTTTGGCCTCCCAAAAGGCTGGGATTACAAGCTGAGCCACCGAGTCTGGCCCCTTTTATATTTTAAAGCGCCTCCTCCTTGGATATGCCTAACTAATCCAGGAGATTGTCCGGCAAGAAGGTCAAAGGTCAGAAAGGCTTTCTTTAAATGCAAAATTCCCCAGAGAGTGTTCTGGAACATGAGAGCACTGAGAACAGACAAGACCTGAGCCTGGCAACCACAAAGTGTCGATTTCTTGGGTTCTGCCTCATGCCCAGTTCTGCTAATCGGGCTGCCAGCCCCTTACAGACCCCTGCCTGCTCCTGGGCCAGGCAGAAGGAGGAGCCTTGTGAAACAGACACACACCAGCTGTGTCCCAGGGGCCCACAGGACCAGCCCTCTCTCCCCTGCAGCTGGTAGTCCACAGGCTCACAAACCTGAAACCTAAGTGTCCCCCCAAGCCCGTGCTGGAGCTTGCACACTGACATGTCACATTCATTACCTTCTCCTGTCAGTGGTACCCACTGAGGCCTCCCCCGGGTAGGGGTACCTGGGAAAAATCTGACTCTGCCTCTGCCTGAGGCCTAGAAGTGTTGGCTCAGAGGTGGGAGCGTGCCTGGGCATCAACTAAGTTGAGGAGATGAAGCTCAGCACAGAGAAGCTCCCAGGAGTCCTGCGGTAGAGACCAGCTGAATTTCATTTAACCCAACATCTCCTGGATGCATTTGACTACATGACCCCCTCACTCCTTTCTTGCAAGACCAACCCAGGCACTGCAGAGCCAGTGTCCTCGGAACCACCCGTCAGGGAGCTGACTTCAGTGCTTGGGCTCTAGCCCAGAGACGGTCAGGGCACCTATAGTCTTAACAACATTCCCATCCTGTGGCCGTGGGCCTGGCACTTCTTGATGCAGCTGGGGACTCCATGTCTGCTGACCTTGGGGAAACCGTACCAAGAACTTCTCACAAGGGGGCGCTGCAGGACCACGCAAGTCCCTCCCCTACCCCCAAAGGTGCACAAAGGCAGCTCCACTTTGCTGCACAAGACCGTCAGCACCGGGCAGGATGGGTCTCTGGAATCCCAATGCTCTCAACACAACATTAGTTGTCAGCAGGGCAAGTCTGCTGAACGCCATTTTTCGTGATCCCGTCCCAGTGTGAGACCAGCAGAAGCTCTCCAGGCTCTCCCCAGGACTCAGAATCGGCCTCTCACCGGCAACTGCTCTTCTCAGCTTCTTTCCACATTTGGCAAAATCAGGTCCCTGTTGCCAGTGCTGCTCATAAGCCTGAAACTATCTTAAAGCCCCACTCCCCAATACAAGAGCCTAACAATAGTGACCCGGAGGCCGGCTGTGCCTCAGCCAGCACCTTCTGCTCCCAATGTCCACCTCAGCTGCCAGGACTGGAGCAGCCACCAACTGTGGTCCAAGGGACATGAGGACAAGGGTGGCAAGAACAGGCTGTAACAGTGTGGCCGGGGAGGGAGGGGGCAACACAACTCCTGAACATTCGGCTGCCCAGGCTGGAAACCCACCCAGGGGCTTCCAGGTCCAAGTTCCTCCTCCATTCTCTTCTATCTGTCCCCTTTTCTCCACCTCTGGGACCACTGCTCTCTAGGCCACCACTTCTCTCATGTGGACCCCTCTAACCGCCACAACCTCCTGGTCCCCCAGCTGCCAGTCCTGTCCCATCTGACCTGCCTGTCTCTTGCCTGACCCCACAGTGACTACCCAACACTCTCAAGAGAAAGGAACAAGCCCTGAGTAAAGTCTTTGAGAGCCCTGGGCGTTTGCTGCAATCCAGCCCTGAGCCCAGCTGCCCACACCGGCAGCAGCCTGGCTGTGCCCCTGCTGCATGTCCCCAAACACATGCCCCACCAAGGGCCCGAACCAGAGTCTCGGGCAGACACAAGTCTTGAGCCAACAAGGAAGTGTGCCGTGGCCATGTCTACTCAGCAAACATCTGCCAGGCTGAATGGGGGGGCACAGGGGCAAGGATGCCAGAGGCATGCAGCCCTGAGCCTGAATCTCAGCTCCACTGCTTCCTGGCTGGGTGGCTCCCAGCAAGTCATGCCCTACAAAGCCCTGTGCCTCCTATGGAAAGTAGTTAATGACCTGTCACCAGGCTGCTGTGAGACTGAATGAGGCGTATGTACAACCAACAAGCAACAGGTGATCGCTACTGCCTGTCAGGCCCGGGTAGTGCTGGGCAGAGGGTTGAAGGAGGTTCAGCCCTGACCTTGAGGAGTTGAGACATGTGTGGGGAACACCAGACATGTGAACTGTCCTAACTGGCTCCTGAGGGCCCTGCCCCCACTGCTTCCTTGCTGTCTCCTACCCAGCCCGGATCACTTAGCCTTTCCCTGGCCAGGGCTCCCTCTTCACAGCACTCAAATGATGCCCAACAGTGTCCTGACAAGGGCTTCAAGGACAGGCTGTACCTCATCTGTCATCCCCAGTGCCCTGCCAGGCACAGGCCCTACCACATAGCAGACTCAGGAAATGCCTGTTAGACAAGTAAACCACTGCTGTTGGCTGTTGGGACTGATGTTCGTCAAGTAAAGGACAACCCTTTCCATCCCAGCTCCTCTCTTGTTGCTGCAAGGCTACCTGGTGCTCACACCCTTCCCCTCCCACACCACACAACTGGAACACCCCGAGTCTGAAGACGGCAAGACCCCACAAGCCGTTCTGAGGAGGAACAGACAGGCTTCTTGCTCCCTGACATCTGAGAAGCCCCCAGGGACTCACCTGGCATCAAGGACGGTGCGAGTGAAGGAGCGGAGGAACTTGAAGGTGGACATGGAGTCCTGCAGCTTCAGGATCTCCTCTTCCTTGTACTTAAACAGCGCCAGGGCAAAGCGGAAAATGACCTGTGGGGGAACAGGGCAGTCTGTGAGGGACCCCGTGGCTCCACGCGCCAGCTGCACTCCTGGGGGTGTAGGTCTTCCCAGGCCCGAGAACAGACACTCAACCTTAGGGGCAATTCCCACCGACCAAGACCCCCTTAGAGAAAAATCAACCCTCTGGTGGCTTTCAGCACGTCAGCCCAAACCCAAAACCTCCCTATGGAATAGAATCCTTTCATCCTCAGCTAACACTTCCAGACAGTAAAACATAAGGAGCAAGCATGAGGAATCATTTTTCAATAAAATCAAAACCAGGGTTTTCTGATTCTGAAACCTTTGAATATGGTGAATCAATTCATTTTTAACTGATTTGGTTAATTAGTAAATAATCTGAGGTTCAAGGGACCGACCAGGCTTCTGGTGGTCTTGCAAGTTCAAGAAGCTTTGGAACAAACTGCTTTCCCTACATTAAGGGCCTTGAGTGGCACCAACCTGTACTTTCTCTTATTTAGTTTGTTTTTTGGGATCTCGTTATGTTGTCCAGGCTGCACTTAAACTTCTGGGCTTGAACGATCTTTCCACCTCAGCCTCCCGAGTAGCTGAGACTACCCACACCCGCCACCACGCCTGGCTAGGAAGAGTTATAAAGCTGAGAACAACAACTAGAAAAAAGGGGGAGAACTCTTTTCATATACCCCTAGTTATATGGCTTGAGTTTAATATGCTAATATATCACATATTCAAAAACCAATTTTTAAAAAACATGCAACAGAGTGGGTGAGAGGCTCACAGGCAGCGAGGCTCTGAAGTTGGCTCCCCTGAGTGTGTCCTCCTGATCCTCTGCTTACGAGACCCCTGCAACTCCATCTCATCTATCCCTTGGGGAAACCACCATGTGTTGGACAGACGTGGCGCTCAGCTCCGACAGCAGCCTGCAGCTCCCAGTGCTGACATGGGCTTGGTGGAGGCAGAATGTCTTACAAACCAGCCAGTGACCGCCGTCTCCTGAGGTCCCAGGCCCAGCTCCAGCAGCAAGCCATGCGGAGATCACTCTGGCATCGTGGTCACCCTCACCAGTGGCAGCTGAGCCAGCCACCTGGCCACCACTACTGCTGCCCACACAGTGTCAAGTGTGTATATCTGAAAGCAGCTGAGCTCCATAAACCCACCTTTGGTCCCTCATAAAGGAAAGAGTCCCATATTTTAAAGAGGACGTCACTAACGACACTATCCACAAACACCACCAGAAACCAGTTGAATGTGATGAGGGTGTAGTCGACTTTGTACTGCTCAAAGTGGGCGTGCAGCCGGGGTAGCTTCTCGCTCATGAGGTCTCTGAACACCCGCTGGTCCACCTGGGGAGGGAACAAAGGGAGAAGTGTGGGCCTGCCACCACACGGGGCAAGCACAGGTGCTCGGCCTGAGGCTCTGGGGCTCAGCCCACACAGTGCACAGCTGTCCAAACACCAGAATCAGACTACACGGGGCCCAGAAACAGCGATTTCGCCTGCCATAGGTGCACATGAGTGTGGAGTGCACTTCCCGCAGGGGGAAACTGCAACTACCTCCTACACTCACAAGCCCCAAGGAACAGGCTGCTGCAAGGAGCTGCACTGGAGATGCTGACACAAAGGGCCCGAACCAGAGTCTCGGGCAGACACAAGTCTTGAGCCAACAAGAAAGTGTGCTGTGGCCATGTCTACTCAGCAAACATCTGCCAGGCTGAATGGGGCGGAGGGCACAGGGGCAAGGATGCCAGAGGCATGCAGCCCTGAGCCTGAATCTCACCTCCACCGCTTCCTGGCTGGGTGGCTCCCAGCAAGTCACGCCTTACAAAGCCCTGTGCCTCCTATGGAAAGTAGTTAATGACCTGTCACCAGGCTGCTGTGAGACTGAATGAGGCGTATGTACAACCAACAAGCAACAGGTGATCGCTGCTGCCTGTCAGGCCCGGGCAATGCTGGGCAGAAGGTTGAAGGAGGTTCAGCCCTGACCTCGAGGAGTTGAGAGACGTGTGGGGAACACCAGATGTGTGAACTGTCCTAACTGGTCAGGCCTGGTAAAGATGTGTGCACAGAGCACTGTGGAGCCCAGGGACAGGTCCCAGACAAACCCGGAGAAGAAACAGCCCCAATGGTCAGAGCTTGGACTTCCAGGCAGGAGTGTGCCTCCCTCTCAAAGCTGCAGGGAGCTTGGCAGAGGGCTGGGCCTCACCTAGTGGGGAGGTCACATGCCGGGCAGAAGCCTGTCAGAAGCCTCACAATGATGTCACACTGAGGAGTCAGGACGTCATCCTGTAGGCCAGGGGTTTTCCCAGACTTTGTGACCCACAAGAAAGCACACATCTTTAGCCGCCACCCAGTCAACAATACCTGCATGCACAGGTTTAAAACAGAAACAAATGTTTCACTGAACAATACTTAATCTCCCACCAGAGACCACACTTTGATGCTTCCAACTGTAGTCTAACCAATGGGACCTAATGGGGAAAAAAGCTAGTACCAGCCCACTGAAGCCAGTTCTCCTCCCACAGTTCTGAAAACAACTCCGGTTGTCCCTCAGTATACACAGGGGATTGGTTCCAAGGCCTCCCTCCTTGGAACCATGGGCACACACTCAGGTCCACAGTCGGCCCTGAGGATCCTGAGTGTACACAAAGTCTCCCCTCCATATTCACGGGCTTCACATCCTGTGGATGCTGTCCTTTCATTACCTGAAAAACACTCAAATAAGTGGACTGGTGCAGTTCAAACTCATGTTGTTCAGGGTCAACTATACATGTCTGTCCACACTTCCTGCCTGGCTCTGACCTGTGCTGGGGGTCAGGGATGACTGGGAACAGGTGCTATCTTTGAGGAGCTGTAAACAGGTTGGACATGTTTAAATTTATCTTGAATATGGTAAAAGAGAATCCATTTTTTAAAACTAATTTGGTTTTGGGTTACTCTGTTTGAGGCTCAAGGGAACAGGTCTTCTTCTGGTCATACAAGTTCAAGAAGTTTTGGAACAAACTGTTTTCCCTACATTATGGGCTTTGAGTGGCACCAACCTGTACTTTCTCTTATTTATTTGTGTTCTTGCTATGTTGTCCAGGCTGGACTTGAACTCCTGGGCTCAAGCAATCTGACAGCTGAGCTTCAAGCGATAACTGGAAGATCTGGCCGAAGACGTCTAAAGACAAGGGACACACACACTGGCCTTGAAGTGGGAGGAGATCCTTGCACTCCTCTCTCCTCCCAACTAGGTGGCAGTCTGTGCCTCATTCTCGAAGCTGCCTGGTGCTTGTCAAAGCGTGGAGGGGCCGCTGGGTGCCTGTCAGAGGGCTGGGTGTGGAGGGGCTGCCAGGGATGTTCACTCAGGCCTCTCTGCTTAAGCCCCTCCCCCGCTGAGCTCTGGAGTACATGGGATGACTGTGTCATTCATCTCTGTGTCCTCGGCACCCAGCAAGGTCCTGGCGCACAACGTGCACTGAAAGGATGGAATGCATGGAAAAGCTGACAAGCATCTGGACTACAGTGGGCAAGGAGCTTGGGCACTCAGTGTTGGCAGGAGGCAGTTTCACAGGGATCTGCAAAGCACAGTGCTGGGCTGGTGGCACATGCAGAGCTATCCCCATTTGAAGAGCGGCCATATGCAATGTCCATCAATGACAGGAGAGTGATTAAGTTCACTTTATGCACCCACCTGATGGAATACTGTAGCCACCAAATAGGATGGCTCAGCCAGGCACAGTGGCTCACACCTGTAATCCCAGCACTTTGGGAGGTGGAGGCAAGGGGATTGCCGGAACCCAGGGTTTCAAGACCAGCCTGGGCAACATGGCAACACCTTGTCTCTACAATTAAAAAAAAAAAGCTGGATGTGGTGGTACATGCCTATAGTTCCAGCTACTTGGAAGGTTGAGGTGGAAGGATCGCCTGAGCCCAGCAGGTTGAGGTTGTGGTGGCCATGAGCATGCCCCTGCACTCCAGCTTGGGCAACAAAGTGAGACTACAACTCAAAAAAAAAAAAAAAACAGGATGGCTCAAAAGTTCCTAGTGACATGGGGCAGTGCTCATGCTATAATGTGAACTAGCCAGGACATACCATGCTCTCAACTTGGACACCTTATGAAATGGGCTGAAAAAAGTGAAAGGAAATTCACCCAAATGTGGACCATGTTTCTCTCATAGGTAGGATAACAGGTGATTTGATTTGTCTCAATATCTTTCTATACCCATAACTTCTCTTCAGTATGGTCAAGAAAAAAGACCCTAAAATAGATCTTCACCTATAAAGTTGATATTAGCAAACTTTACTGAGTTTTTGCAATGTTCTGAGCATTACCTCAACCTCTTAAAGCATCATCCAAATTTAACCTCAAATAATCTATGTGAGGAGGGTATTACCCTCATATTACAGATGGGGAAACTGAGGCCACAAAGCTATTCAGTGATGTGTCCATGCTCCACAACTCATGTGAAGGAGGGCCTGGTTCTGACTCAACTGTGTGACCATCAGTCCAAGCTCTTAACCAGTATGTTCAATCATACCTCAATGGAAGTAAGAAAGACCAATGCTTCCTTTTTCTTACTCTGAAACACTGAATCCCCTCAGATTTTTAATTTGAGCCTTCTAAAGCTATTTGCTTTCAGGTGCCCATAAACACAAAACTTTTTCTACCCTCTGATCCCACCCACCTGTGACTGCTGCCCTTCCCCCCCCACCCCCCTCCACCCCATGCCGTTCATTCCCTCATTTACAGGCTGATGCCAAGTGAAGCGATCACAGGAAGACCAGTTCTCCCGGGATCCATCGACATCCATGAAACTGGGATGGGGACCTGCAGGAGACAGCTGTGGGGAAAGGGTCCCACCCTCTAGCAGGGCCAGAGCTCAGCCCCTCTCACCATCCTAGAAAACGGCAGACAGCGAGGGGTAAACCTAGGCTCAGAGCTACAAAGTCCCGAGTCCAAACCCCAGCTCAGTGTCCCCTTGCTGGTGTCTCAGGCAAGTTGCTTACTGGCGTACTGGACCCCTGGTCTTCTCCCAAGACAAATGGGGATGATTGTGCCTCTGCATTGCAGAGCTCTGTGCAGCTGTGGAGCTGCTGGCCAGGGCCAGGGCTCACTGATGGCCAGCCCCTTTCCCTTGTCAAAGGAAGCTCATGTAAGTTCAGACGCTGACTTTGCTGTGCTAGACACTGAAAGGAACAACAGGGCTACAGCACTGCTGACTAGCTGGAGGACAAGTTGGCATGCGAGTTAAAGGACCACTGTCCTGCAGGACTGTGCCAGAGTAGTGGGAACAGCCACGGCCTGCAGCTGCCATGGGAATGGTGCTACAGAGGAGACGGCGGGTGAGCTCAGGCTGCTGGTGGGGGTTTCCCATGGAGGTGAGCAGTGGGACAGTGTTCCACGTTCGTGAAAATACACAGTATGGGCATGGCCAGAGGACACGTGTCCTATCACAGGTTTCCAATGGCTCCATGGGTGGAAAGAGGCCCTGGTAGCATGTGAAGGCATTGAGGCTTTGCCCTGAGAAGTCCGGGGACACCAGCAGCAGAGGGACACGATGGAATCCCGGAGTGAGACAGAAGTAAAACCAGAGAGGTAGGCGAGTGACAACAAGAGAAAGGAGAGAGACAGTGGTGATGATGAAGGGGAGGGGGTAGCAGTGATGATGGAGGAGAGGGGACAGTGGTAATGACAGAGGAAGGGAAAGCGGCACCAATGGAGAGGGGACAGCAAGAAGAGAGGGGACAGGGTGACGGAGGAGAGGAGACAGCAAGGAACAGGGACAGTGGTGATGATGGAGGGGACAGTGGCAACGATGGAGGAGAGGGGACAGTAGTGAAGGGGGCAGAAGGGGAACAAAGACACAATGATAGAAATGGTGACCACAAGGACCAGGAGGAAGGAGGAGTCCAGTTGCCCACGTTTCTGGCCTGGGGACCTGGAGCGGTGAGGACAGGAAGAAGCAGGAGGCAATGCTGAGGACCCTCCTTCCATAGGCAGAAATAGCAAAAGCAGCCAGGCCAACCAGGAAGAAGCACACTAAGGATCTGTCAGAGGAAATTTCACCCAGGGTGCTGGGGATGCTGGGGAGAGAAAGGCTAAGAAGCCACGAGGTTGATGATGAGGAGCCCAGAGATCAGCAAGGGCGGGGAAGCCAGCCCTGGATGGAGGGACAAAGGAGGCAGGTGAGGCCGCCTGCTGGCACAGGAGTCACCATACAAGATGGGGCCACAGGAGACAGAGCCACCCACGGAGACACTGCCAAGGATGGAGAGGGGGACATCCCTTCCACGCCCTCCTGTCATCCTCCAGTGTCCTGCCAGGGCTTCCCCTGGCCTGTGGGGCCAGCCCTTGTGACATCGAGCTGAGGAGTGTCATCCTGCCCTGGCCCTGTTGGACTTCAGCAGGGAAGGGCATGAGATGTACCACTCAGATTTCCTGCTGCAGGAGCCACTGCCCCCAGCATCCATCACTGAAGCCAGTGAACCAGCAGGGCAGGGACACGACCGCAGCCCATTGGTGGGAGGTGGGCGCCTTTCACAGCTGCCCTGGGCTTGAGAACTCCCCACGGGCCCAGTCAAAACTTTCTCAGGCTGCACCATAGTCACTGCATGGTGTCTGAGACTCTTCTTCCCCGTCCTCCTCCCTTCCCCTGGGCTGGAGTTTTTCCGGCCTTCCCTAGCTCCTGTCCCTCGTCCTTCCCAAGTGTGTCCCCAGAAGTCTCTGTCTGGCATGTCTAATTCTGCCTTGGTATCTTCTTCCTGAGGACTTGAGCTAACACACCAGGCCCCCCAATTCCCCTGGACTATGACAGTCCATGGGGTAGGCCTGTGCCCAGGAAAGAGAGCGCAGAACTGAGAACATATCACGGCTGCAGGGTGGGTCTGTCTCTGCTGGTTCCCGGGGAGTTGAATGATCTGAGCCCACCTCACTCACTCACACACAGCTTGGGCCAGTCTCTGAGACGTGCTCTGCCACCTTGGGGATCAGTTGCTGAAGTCAGCACACAAAGCCTTTCCCTACCAAGGTTCCATTTGGGACATACTTCAGCTACAAATTATACAAATTGGTGACTGAAGCATAGAATTTTTAGAAGTACCTGGGATCCCAAAAGAGTCTTTGTGTAATAGTCTCGAGGCATGAAGACTTCCACTATGGTAACCAGACACCAGAAAGCGTCTTCTTGTTCCAAGTACAGAAGGGCCACTGCCACCAGCCTGTGAGCAAAAGGGGGACAAGGTGAGTGCCCAGACGCAGCTGGGGACTGCCAGTCTCCACAGAGACTCTGCCTAAGCCCTTTCCTCTCTCGTAACCAAAACTATTTCCAGTTCTCCAATAAAAAACACTTGGTAAGTGTGCCTTTGCCAGTGAGGCATTTCCAACAACTTGAGTAGCTAAGCTACATTCCCTCTCTTTCATTTGGTTTTTGTGCAAAGATGAAACTGTTTCTCAATGATCAACTGGCCTCATTTTTAAAAAATAATGTTCTCACCATAAAATTTTTGCTGATGCAGCTGATTTTTTGGGGTTTATTGTTCAAGAAGGTACAACTTTTTTTTTTTAAAGAGACAGGTTCTCACCATGTTGCCCAGGCTGGTCTCAAACTCCCGGTTTCAAGCAATTCTCCTGCCCTGGCCTCCCAAAGTGTTGGGATTACAGGCATGAGCCACCATGTCTGGCCCAACTTATCCTTTTATGCACAAAAAAATCCAGATGTGAATGTAAATAACAAAGAATGCAAGATGGCTTCAAATAGCTTTCCCAATACCATTCTGCTTCCAGGATAAGGGAATGGAACGGACTGCAAAGATGCCCCCTGGGGGCTTCCTAACAGAATCACACCCACAGCATGCACGGGTGGGGAAAGGAGACCACATGCATCCCTGCTATGTTATTCCTGATGTTAGCCAACAATGAGTTGGTCACTTAGCTGTCACTCATCAAGAGGTGACTTCTCAGAAGCCCCAGGTATGGCTCCAAGTGCATGCTCCAGGCAGCAGGATGGAAAGCCTCTCTCTACTGAGCCAAAGTACAAAACCTGGGCCGATGCACGGAGCTTATGAGCTTCACTCATGAGAAAACTTCTGAAGCCATTTCTCAGAATTTGCTTTTTACTTTTTTCCTTAGATAAAATTATAATAAACTTATCTCAAATTAAACGGAGGCGGGGGGGAAAGGCCTGGGTAGGTGGGAAGGGGATGCCTCAAGTAGGCACGAAGAGGATAGAGAAGAGAAAGATGACCACTGGCAGAGACAGAGAAGAGACACAGGACACACAAGCACAGGCTTCAAGTTCACAGCAGCTGATGGTGCAGAGCCTTTTAGAAAAGCACTCAAGTTAATTGACGTTCCAGATGACAGGCCTGAATCATCTAGAAAAGGCTAAAGTTCTTCCAATAAGGTTCTGGGCACTCAGAAAGCATGGACACGCACCAAATACTCTCAAGAAAGAAATCCCACCAACTGGTTACAATTCAGAGGCTTTACTGGTGATGGGGTTGTCGAGAGAAAGCCTCCATGATCTGGAAGTGGCACTTGCATGTGGGAGCACTGACTTTGGGACAACACTAGACAAGTGGGCATTCCTGGACCCCACATGGGCACACTCAAGTCCTCACCAGGGTGCCTTGGTCTCAGAGGTTTCCAGCTTCCAGGAACTTCCAGATTGAGCACAAAATGTGAATTATGGCTTTAAGTAAAACAAGACTGCTTTGCTAGACAGGATCCTATTTATGGGCTCTTTTTTTTTTTTAAAGGAGACTATCTAGGAGCAGCTGAAGTCCCTTTTACCATGAGGGCACAAGAGAGGCTGCCCTGTCCTCACCACCAGAGGAAATGACTTCCTGGATACCATTTGGTTTCAGGTCTTAAGCAAGTACATTTCTTCCTGCAATACTCTCATTTCAGATGCAAATAGGCAGCCCTTCTCCGGAGGTCAGTACCAGATAAGAAGCAGGGACAGGAGGGCCTAGGAGCAGCCAAAACAAACGTCAGCACTCCAAACTCAAGCTCCCAGCATGGCTGACAGGATTCCTCCAAATGTACATTAGAGCTTCCTTGTTCTTACCTTATCCATATCTCTAATACATTGGGTTACCCACTTTCACTACACAGAGAGGAATACAATTGGACAATTGTAAAGATAGCAGAAAGCGTGCCAGCCAGTTGAGAAGCAGTCAGAATACTCAAAGTCCAGCAATGGGAGAAGCCTCACAGAGAGCAGGCCTCAGTACCTCCTGAGACCTCATCCTGTCCCAGCACAGCTCAGGAGATGAGCCTGGATCACTGAGAAGGTGAGAGGCTTTTCAGTGTCCTCTGTCTAGGAGAGTAAGCAAGGCTGTGAGAAGATTCTAGACTAAAAGAAAACAAGTTTAGGTCCTTTAAGGGTTAAGTTTCATCTGCTGAAGAACTGTTTGGGGCAACTTCTTGATTCACAAAGATCCTATATGTGGCCAGGCGTGGTGGCTCATGCCTGTAATCCCAGCACTTTGGAAGGCCAAGGCGAGAGGATTGCTTGAGTTCAGGGATTCGAGGCCAGCCTGGGCAACTTGGCAAGACCTCATCTCTACAATAAATTAAAAAATTAGCTGGGCATGGTGGTACATGCCTGTAGTTCCAGCTACTTGAAAGGCTGAGGCAGAGGCAGGTCAAGGCTGCGGTGTGAGCGTGCCACTGCACTCCAGCCTGGGCAACAGAGTACAACTCCAACTCAAAAAAAAAAAAAAAAAAAGATCCTGTATACTGTATAAACATGGAGTGTTCACCAGTTTTCACTGCATGCATTTTAAATTAATAAAATCCAACTTGCAGTCATACTTGAGTATGATGAGAACAAAAAAGAAAAACAAGATTCTAGGTTGTTTCGAATGAATTTAACTTTTGTATTCCTAATGCTTTCTGAAATCATGTTTGTTTCTTTGGGTTATTCTGGAACTGGGGATGTTGTGTCATTAAAACCAGCTCACTGCAACTACTTTTTCCCTGAAAATACTAGCTTTTCTTGGCCACCCAGGGAGAGGGAGCTGCCAGGCAGTGCCTGTGCCTGGAAGTTACCTAAACGGCAAATGGGAACATCCCAGGGACCCACACACACCTGTTGAGGCCTTGGCAGTAACCGATATCTGGATTTCGCCAGGAGAATGCGAGCAGGACGTTGCGCAGCTTCTGTATGCCTTCGGAAGTGGGGCAGGAATAATGCTTGTTGTTGGGTAGAGTCCGCAGCAGGTCCAGCTCAATCTGCTTGGAGGCTGGGTTCTGCTTCTCTAGTGCCTTCTGGAGCAGGGTCTGGAAGTGGCCAGGCTCAGTGCTGTCCCTGAACTTCCTCGTGTGAAAGTCCACACACCACTTCCACACCTTGGACCGGTGTTCATGGGGAATGCCTGCGCGGATCAGGTTTTTCAGCTCTGGAGAGCACATCATCTCCCTGTTCATTGTGCTGGCAAAATAGTTTTCCCACTTGACCCCAGTAGAAACTTCCTGGTTCTCTGTGAGGTACAGAGTCTTCAGGTCCAATGCGCGGACCTTGGCAACTAATTTCTCTTCCTCGTCATCCTCAGGTACAGTTCTGAACCCATAAATGTCATATTCACTGTTGGTAAAAACAAAAGGGGAAATTAAATGATATGGTCTTGGCAAAAAAGACCAACTGAAATAGAATACAGACCCCAGAAATCAATCCATATATGGGTGGCACTTTGAAACAGGACCAGGCATTTCACATCAGCGATAAAGTCAGCAACTTCTTGGGACATAAAACTAGGACAACCAGCTATCTATATGGGAAAACATTAAATTAGATCTCTTCATGATCATTTACAGGTTTAAAAAAAATCAATTCCAGACAGTTTAAAACCCTGAAAATGTGAAAAGCCTAGAAGAAAATGCAAGCAACACTGCAAAAACAAGACTGGTGGATCCGGCTATATTAATGTGTGTGCATGTTTATTTATCATACACGTAACTGTGCTTCAAAAAATACCATTTTGAAAGGTAAAAAAAAAAAGGAAGAAGCAAGTATTTGTAAGAAATTAGGGCTGAAACGGAATTAAGGTTTTAGAAGACAGAATCATATCCCCCAAAGGTGTCTGTTTCCTAACTCCTGGAACCTGTGACCACATTAGGTTACACAGCAAAGGAAACACTGCCACTGGAGTTAAGATTACAGAATTTAAGACAAGAAGATTATGAGGGTTACCTGGATGAGCCCAGATATCCCCTCTAAGGCGGAAAAGGAAGGCAGAAGTGTCGGCAGGGAAACGTGATGACGGAAGAAGAGGCAAGAGAGAGGCAGGCGAGGGGGGCTGAACCCGCTGCTGCCGCCTCTGAGTACACAAGAAAAGGCCACGGGTCAAGGAACTAAGCAGCCTCCCGAAGCTGTCACTCACAGCTGACAGCCAGCAAGGAGATGGGGACCTAGGCCTACAACCACAGGAACTATATTCTGCCAACAACTTGAAGGAGCAAGGACATGAATTGCCCCTAGGATGTCCAGAAGGGAACGCAGGCCTTAATTAAACCTGAATTTTAACGCGATGAGACCTGTGTTGAGCTACCGACCTACAGAACGATGAGGTCATAACACATGCTTGTTTTAAGCCACTGCGTTTATGATAATTTGTTATGGCAGCAACAGAAAACTACTACAAAGGCCTGTAATCATTTGCTGCTAAGTGTGCAGAGCTGCTCAAGCACTTTGGAAACCAAATCTAGTGGAGCTGAAGACATGCATTCCCTATACATCAGGAATTCCATTTTTAGTCTACACCCTGTAGAAACTGTCTCACGTGGACACACGGGAACTTGCACCATGACGGCCCCAGCATCACTGTTTGTAACAAGGAAAAATGGAAAGATTCTAGCTGGGCTCGGTGGCTCAGCCTATAATCCCGCGCTTTGGGAGGCTGAGGTGAGTAGAATGACCCCGCGGGTTCGACCCGCCTGGGCAACTTGGCGAGACCTCATCTCTGCAATAAATCAAAAAATTAGCCAGGCGTGGTAGCGCGCGCCTGTAGTTCTAGCTACTTGGAAGGCTGAGGCAGAAGGATAGCTGGAGCCCAGCAGGTCGAGGCTGCAGTGGCCAGGAGCTGTGCCACTGCACTCTAGTCTGGGCGACAGAGTGAGACTCCAACTCAAAAAAAAAAAAATGGAAAGATTCTAAATGTCCTCCATGAGGGACAGAATAAAGACACTGAGGCACACTCACGCTGTGACATTCTAGGAAGAAGGTACAAAAATGCTCAGGCCCACCCACTGTGCCCCATGCTCACCACCTGGGTGACAGGCCCAAGAGAAGTCTAAGTCTTACCATCGTCACTATACCTATGTGGCAAACCTTCACATGTACCCCTTCAATCTAAGACAAATTAAAAATACACAATAAACAAAATAAAAGCATGAAGAAACACAGACAAACATGCTAGGAGCTACACATATCAACCTGGATAATTTCACAAAATAATGTTGAAAGAGGTTTCAACACATATCTGGGATCAGTATCTAAGAAAGTGTCATCAGTTAGAATCCACCCTGAAGTGCTTACAGGTAAAATGACATCATGTCGGCATTTGCTTTAAAATATTCCAGAAAAAAATCTGTGAGGGGCAGGAAGGGTTAGAGGAAACAGTGTTGGTGAAACGCTGCTAACCGCTAAAGCTGGGTGGAGTTGCCTGTGGGGTCTGTTAGACAATTCCATCTACTATTTTGTATGTTTGAAATTTTCCTTAATAGAAAGTTAAAAATAAATCAATATTCACAGTCATTGTTCTACTTATACATAAAGTTTGAACACAACATAACAGAAGAGCACAAAACGCACATGGGAAGAACACATGGCACCCTCAGATACACTCCTAGGACTCACAGATGTTAAAAACAGTCACTATGACAAAGGGATCTGGCTGCCCAGGCTGGGGTCCTGTGTGTATCACTCACAGACTGAGGGACCTTGGGCCCATCCTTACAGTCCTATCATCCCAAGTCCAGCTTCCTTACTCGTAAATAGAGGATCAAGACACCCACCTCATTGCCCATGAAGAAGTTAGCATAGCTCCGGGCACATAGCAGACCTCAGTAAGAGTTTCGTAACGAATGATGTGTTGTTCACATTCGAACAGCCTATTTCTGTCATCTGAGTTGCCCAAACAATGAGCTCACAAGCTGTGAGCTCAGGAAGGGAAAGAGCATGTTAAGCTGAGGCGAGCATTGCCTGGACCTGGAGGGGAGAGCCAGGGAGGCGAGGGAACTGCAGTGAGCAAGGCCCAACCAGGGATGGCCCTGAGTGGCAAAGGGGTGGACACAAGAAGAGGCTGGATCAAGTTCATTTGCAGACTTCTCCTCAGTCTAGAATTTCATGAGTTTCATTCCTCAGAAAATAGGTTATGAGGATTCTTAATCCAACATCATCATGGGCTTCCAGATTCAGTGATTTCCCAAAAAAATAGATGCAATATTTTGGGTGTGTGTGTGTGTGTGTGTGTGTGTGTGTGTGTGTGTGTGTGTGTCCTCATCCAAGTGCATTCTGGGAGCAAGTATGTCCATAGCTTGTATTGGATCCTCAGTGCGTCTGGACCACTGAATCAGGTTACCCATAGGAAGAAAGCCCTATTCCCCACTTGAGGGCCCCCTTTGCTTTTGAGCCACCTATGGGTGCTGTCTCAGGACAAGGTTTCTGTTCCTTGGATCACAGTATAGCTACCATACTTATACGAGACAGAGGCCTTGTCATCAGAAGACTTAGGCCAAACCCCAGCTCTATACTTGATTCTTAGGGGAGAATGACAATGATATCTATTGGGCTGATCCCAACAGCACTAGTGAGACAGAGTTGTGTACAGCTCTCTGGGAATGGCTACTGCTGTTGAAAAAGGGACTTTAGAAATGGGGTGCACCACCCCTAACAGTCACTAGCAGCATTACCTGACAAGATGCGGCTTAACGAAAGCTTGCTCTGGCTGCTCCGGGCTCTCTACCTGCAGAGCGTCCTCCAGCAACTGAGCTATGACCTCCCGGGCAGGCCCCTGTTCTTCTGAGCACACTGGCGTCTTCATTTCTTGAAGCAATATCAAGTATTTGCTTTCTATCTGGCAGAGCTTGGCTTCCAGGCTAGAATACTGCAGAGAATGTAGTGGTTACCTCTATCCTGACAGAGACCCAGGAAAAGCAATCTTCAGGTACTTCAAACATTCAACGAATGACAAGCCCAAAACTATGAGGAAATGAGTCAGAGACAGAGTGTATCAAAGACAAGAAATTAATTTATGCCACAGACCATCTGTCGTGTCTACAAAGGCCTCTATGGACTCCTCTCTTCCTTTAAGGAGTTCTGGTATAGAAGGGATGCTGATAATCAGACCTCTGGATGCCAACAAACGTATCAGCCCTGGACGGGGTTGAAGTGAGCATCAGAAAGCAGGTCAAGTGCCAGTTACTGAGGTTGAGCTTCATGCCACTTGGCACATGAGCCATGAGTGGCCACCCAATGCTATACCAATTTTTTCTCAGTACACTGGGACTTAAGGCAGCTCCCAACTGCTACTTTATCAGACAAATCAAACACATCCTTGAAAACATGCAGCAATAAGGTCTGGGAAGATGCTTTGAGGTTTGTTCAGAAAAGTATATAAGGCATACAATAGCTGTTGACAAGCTAATATATTTGATTATATTTGATTATAATTCCTTTCATTACAGCCGAACCGCCTGTGGTCCCCTGACATTTTGTGAAACTCTTTCCAGCCATAATCACATCTGACTTTGACACCAACCCTACTGAGTTCATAGAGGCAGCCTTAACCTTACCACCCCCATCTTACAGATATAAAACCCGATAGCATAAATCAAAATCCCAATAACCTTAATTTACAGGACCTTATATACTTCATTTGTTTTCTTAAAAATGCTTATGTACAAATGGAAGCCACACCTCAGGGCATTTCTCCTTGTCTTCCTCACAGACAAAATGAGACTAAGCACATAGCCCTGTGTGCTATATAAATATTTTAAAAGAGATTTCGATCAGTAGCCATATCTCTCCAAGCAGGGAGTTGAGCTGGTTTGTATAGTGTGTTTGTTTTCACACGGTTTCCTTGCCTGACCTCCCACCAGATCACAGGACATTCATCCCAGCCCACCTTGGCCATCAGATCCCGCTCTCTCCTTTCTGCATTTCTTCGTAGAGCTGAGAGTTCCAAAATCTCCTTATTTAGAAATTTGTTTTGGGTTTTGTATCCCTGTAGATTATCCTGTTGGGAAAAAAAAATCCATCAATTCACTTGAGTTGAACATTGACTAATTATCCTACTAAGTAATTAGCATCTTGCTGCCTCACCAATCAAGCAGCCCTGCTAACTTACAGTAAGTTCTAAGAAACTGGAAATCGTTACCAGGCGCTGAATCATCTTTTAATCTGATTACTTTTTCTGACCACCTGTGGCAGTAGAAGGAAAGCAGGCACTGCTGCTGTGATGAAGGAGATGGGGAAAGCATTTATTTGATGGTGGTGATAGGAAAAATAAATAGGGCGTAGTTCCCAAATCCATGCAAATATTTTACCCATATTCACTGAGGTGGTACAAAAAAGCAATACCTTACATTCTTTTGTTTTTCTTTCTTTTTTTTTTTAGATAGGGTCTCGCTATATTGCCCAGGCTGGTTTCAAACTTTTGGCCTCAAGCAGTCCTCCTGCCTCGACCTCCCAAAGTGCTGGGATTACAGGTGTGAACCACCATGCCAGGATATGTTTACTACTTTAACTAGAGAAACAACATATTTTCTGTAGGTTCTCATATTTACTTACTCAATTTATATACAAAAAGCTACACACATGCAAAAGCCCTTAACTAAGATCACATCTTATAATGAATGCCTACAACCTACAATGCATGAGACACTTAAGAGAACGTGTTCCTCAACTCTTGTTACATTAAAAATTTTCAAACTTATGAAAACGTTGAAAGAAAAGTACAATGAACACAATATAGCCTTAACCAAAACCCAGTGGTAGTTAACTTTTGTCACATTTGCTTTGTCAGTAAGAGAACATGACAAGCCAGTGACGAGTTCTGCCGAGTCCAACTCAAAGACCAGGTCTGGCCAAGGCAGATGCCATGTTGGCTTCAACCCCTGACACTCTGAGCAAGAAAGGAGAAAGGAGCCAACAACAAAAACAAACAAAAAGGCAGGGAGACTTTTCATGTAAAACATTGTGAAAATAAAGTTCAGGAAACTTCTTTAGATCTTCCCAATAATAAAAACGAGCTGAAGAAGGTTCTAAAGATACTAATCAGAACCACCTTTGGGACAGTGATTTCTAATATTCTTTCCAAATTCAGCCTTCCTAAATGTGCCTCCTCTCGCCCCGTTTGTAATTATTTCTCTTTTATAATCTGACAGGCTGGCATGTGAGGTTTCCACGGAATTTCTGATCCCTTAGTCACAGAAGAATTCTGTAAATTCTCAGAGGGCAGGCCAGGGTAATCAAAAAGGACATAACTCCTTTGACCTTGTCAAAGGAAGAAGACCACTGCCATCCCCAGAGATATGTCCACAGACATTCCCCAATTTTCAAACCACTATGGGATCATACAGTTTCCCCATAAAATGCAGAAGAACTGAGAATGGTTCAATGATGCCATTAACCACTAGCATTTATGGTCATTTGCTATGGGTTATAGGTGCCCGTGTTAGACCTGTGGCATCCTGATCACACCTCTTGGGCAGCCATTCTAGTCATCTCTAGTTCCCAGGTGAAGAAAAGACCACAGGGGGGCTGCCCACCTACTAGGCATCCCAGGTTACAAATCACACTTCTGAAAGCCAGGCCTGGTGGGCTCATGGCCCAGTGGGCTCAGCTGACTCCTATCGGAACTCTAATATGCATCACACTTACTCAGCCTCAGCAAGACCACACGTCACTACCAGTACTCAAGATGCTGAATGTCAAACTCAAAAGGAGGTCCACAGACTTCCTTTTCTCACCTGAACCATGGAGATGGAGAAAGTATCTATTTGATGGTGATGACTTTTCTCAAATGATGATAGGTACTCCTTTCTCCTGGTCTCTTAAAGCTCTCATACTTGGAAACAATGAACAAACCATCAAAAACAGGCAGGCCAGTCAAAGGAAGATGGGCGGGAAGACAACTAAAGGACACACCTGACAGTGATGGACAGAGATGGAGTCACACAGGTGGGTCAGCAAAAGCAAGTGACCATCACCTGTCATATCTATGTCTGTAACTTACAATCTCTTTCACAGTCTAAGTTCTGATCGTTTATCTAAGGATACGTTCTCTAGAACGATGTTAATGGTCACAGCAATGATAAAACCTAGCATTAAGACCTTAGGAGGCGCCAGAGCGGCATGGGGGCTTTACATGATTACCTCCTTGAATCCTCACAACACCTATGAAGAAACAGCACTGTTTCACAGATGAGCACACCGAGGCACAGACTTAACGTCACTTGCCCAAGTCGGAGTTCAAAAATAGTAAAGCTGGTCTGAATCCAGCCACATCTGGCTCCAGAGCCCATGCAAAGGAGACAAGATTAGGTGGGAATGCCTTCTGCATCACAGAGGGGACCCCTGGCACTGGCAATAACAGGGGTCACTTATCCACCCAAAGCCTTTCTGACAGAGACTCAAGAATTGGTGGCAACTAGTATGTTATGATCCTTTCTGTGGCCTTACTGATGGTGACCAAGGCTCCTGTTATCCCCTCTGGACCACCAGGCTTCTCTACAGGTAGAGTTGACTGCCACTGTTTCCCACAAATACTGCATGCTCCTCCTGCCTCACAAGCCCACATATGACATGGAGAGTCACTTCAGCTCAGAAACCAGCTCCCATCCTCAGGGCTAGCCCAGGGGGACACTGGGAGGAAAGTTCTTCCCTCCTAAGAGTCAGGCCCCTCTCACCTTGGGCCTGAGAGGGAATGGGGGTCCATGTCCCTAGATAACCCAACACTAGCTGCTGGGCAGCACGCTCCCATCCCAGGTTCCATCGGGTCCTGTGGTAGGCTGTGCCAATCAAGTCTGAGTGTGCATTCATGTACACAGAAAGGGCAAGAAACAGTCTCCCTGTGCTCCATGGGTTGATGGAGTCCCATGGTGGTACAACCGGAAAGGGAAGTCTCAGCTGCCTGAGAGCAAGGGAGGGGAAAGATCTGAACCGTTTCCAAGCACCGGCAATGCCACTGGATGAAGAGTTTCATTTTCCAAGGAAGCTCCTTGGAAGATGAATGATCATTTGACTGTAAAACCTGTTATACTTGTCCAAAGGGGGGGGGGGGGGGGGGCACAACTATTCTGCTGCCATACCAAATCAGTGCTCAAAGAACCTCCGGGGTGATATCGTGGGGTTAAAGGGTTCTGGTCTCTCATCCCTGTTCTCAGCCCATGCCCTGCTCTTACTTTCAGCCTGTCCAGCTCCAGTTGGTCCTTGGCGGCAGGGGTGGCCAGGGGGGAGCCAGGCGTGGTGGTAGGGGATGCCAAACTGCCCTCGCCCTGGCTGAGCTTGATGATGACCTCATCCTTGGCCTGGATGGTCTCCATTAGCATCCCCAGCCGCTCGCTGAGCTCTCCCACTTTGCTCTTCAGCGTCCGCACCTCCTGCTGGAGACTCTCCTTCTCCAGGCTGCAGCGCTCCAGCTGGCTGCTGAGGCCCAGGATCTGGTCATCCTTTTGGTGTAGAAGCTCCAGTGTGTCCTTTGGGATGCCCTCACAGAGTCGGCTGCTGGTGAAGTACTTGTCATACTGTGACGACCGCACTGTCTGCTGGAGCAGCCGAACAAGCTCCTGGGAGACAAAAGGAGGATGGAGGAAGGTGAAGGAGTGGAGGAAAGTGAAGAGGGTGGGGGGAGGCGAGGGGGATGGAGGAAGATGAGGGGGATAAAGAGACATGAAGG